CACCCCTCTCCCTGGCGGGGTCAGCTCCTGCTTGCTGATTCCCAAAGTCCCTCCAGCCCCCCAGCTCCCGTGTTTCACAGAGGATTAGGGGTTGGAAGGGATCCCCAAAGATCATCACGTCCAACCCCCCTGCCAGAGCAGCACCAAAAACCCACACACAGCTAGGGCAGGTCACTCAGAAAGGCTCATCCAGACAGGTCTTGGAAGTCCCCAGAGCAGGAGCCTCCACAACCTCTCTGGGCAGCCTGTTCCCAGGCTCTGTCACCTCACAGGAAAGTTCTTCCTCATGTTGAGGTGAAACTCCCTGTGCTCCAGTTTGGATCCATTGCCCCTCATCCTGTCTCAAGGCACAAGTGACAAGAGCTTGTCCCTGCCTTCTTGATGCCCTCATGTATTTATAGACGTTAATTAGATCCCCCCCTCAGTCTTCTCCTCTCCAGACTGAGCAGCCCCAGGTCTCTCAGCCTTTCCTCATAAGACAGGTATTCCAGTCCCTTTGTCACCCTCGTAGCCTCTGTTGGACTCTCTCAAGTAGATCCCTGTCCCTCTTGAACTGGGGAGCCCAGAACTGGATGCAACACGTGAGGTCTCACCAGGGCAGAGCAGAGGGGGAGGAGAACCTCCCTTGATCTGCTGGAGACACCCCTCTTAATGCACCTCAGGATACCATTGGCCATCTTGGTTTCCCAGGGTGGGGGTGTGAGGCTGAAGCCTCATGGGATTCCTGAGGTTCAGGAGGAAGGAAGAAGCTCAAGAAGTAGCAGGAGACTGGTGTGGATGGTACTGCATGGGACATGACTGTCTGGGGCAAGACTGGGGGTGCAAAGGGCCATTAGGTGGAGGTGGGGGCTGGCTTCTGTGTGTTTGAAAACCCAAGTATCCCAACAGATGCTTAGGGCTTCCCAGTAGTGGCAGAAAGGATGGAAGGGCCTGGGGAGGAAGAGAGGAGGTGCTGAGCTGGGGGGGCAGTAAGGCTTGAAGTAGCTGAAGGTGGAAAAGTACAAGAGGTTTTGCTGGGCTGGGGGCTGCTGAGTGAAACTGGAAGGGTTGGAAACTGTGATGGCTGTAACAGGTTTGGACAAACACAACGTGCTTGAAGTTGACATGGTAACTTCCCAGGGCATCTGGCTCATGGGTTCCCTTCTCCAGGTTTGGCTGCTCTTGGAGGCTGCCTTGGGAGGGTCAGGCTGTGGGACCTGCCTGGCACCCCTCTCTGCTGCTCTCTCCTCCAGCTGCCCCCCACTTCCCTGAGCCCCTGGGGGACGTGGCAGTCGAGGTTGGGCAGCACATCAGCCTGATGTGCCACGTCGAGGGCTCTCCCCAGCCACGGATCTCCTGGTCTCGGAAGGATGGGAAGCCCATGACAGGCTGGAATGGTTCACGTGGTGTTTCCATCCATCCAGAGGCTGCCAAGCTCCTCATTGACAGTAAGAGCCGAGCATGGTGAGGTGGGGAATGTTTGGGAATCCCACCTGGATGTGTGCTTAGTGTCACCCTCCAGTGCTCCCCCCACCCAGCAGTGGGATCATCTCCTGCACCTACCCCTTTTTGACCCCTTTTTGCAGTGGCAAAGCTGTGACAATGTGGGTTTATTTGCAAATATTTCCTTCAGTGGGCTTAGCTCTGCAATAACAGCCTGTGAGCTTCAGTCCTGCAGGGACACCCACGTCCAAGAAAATGGTGGGGTAGGAGGGTGGTGTCACCCAACCTGGAGCTTTCTCAGGGCTCTACAGCCCCACCAGCCTCAGTTTTCCCTCTGCCACGCTTCAGGTGCCTCTCTGGATGACCAAGCTGTCTACATCTGTGAAGCCAAGAATGACTTTGGGAAAATCCAAGCGGAGGTCAAGCTCACAGTGACCGGACAGGGTTTGGTTCTACGTGCTTTTGTTGGTGCTTTTGTGTGCTTTTGTTGGTGCTTTTGTGTGCTTTTGGTGGTGTATCCATCCGGCAGCACCAGCTGTGTCTGCAGCAGACCCAGACCTGTGCAGCCACGTCTGCTCCTGATCTGGCTGCAGTGAATGCTCAGCAACCCCTCAGCACAGGCTCTGGATAACGTGCTTCCATCTCTTTGGCTTAAAGCACTGATATGGGCTTCAACCCAAACTGTAGATGAATATCCCCAGATTCTTGGGGGATCTGAATGTCAGAGCTGGCTGGTGCTGAGCCAAGGTCTGGACCTTGGAAGGAAGGCCATCCAGATCTGTTCTCCTGAACATTCCTGGCCAGTTTATCTCCAGCTAATACCGTTTCCCTTTCCCTTCTTTCAAGCAGCCCCAGAAATAGCTCTTGCATCCCCTGTGGTCACTGTGCTCCTAAGCCAGCCTGTGTCTCTGCCCTGTGTGATCCTGGCTGGGAAGCCCTTCCCAACCCGCCGCTGGCTGAAGGACGGGCAGCTGGTGAGGCTTCCAGAATCACTGGAGTGGTGGGTGGGTGAACCAAGGCCCTGCTGGGGCCTGTGGGGGCTGTGCTGCTGGACAAGTGCCCCAACTTCTCTGTCCTTGCTCAGGTAGCCCCAAGTGGCCGCTACTCCATCCAGGCTGATGGGAGCCTGCACGTGGAGCAGGCATTGCAGGAGGACACAGGGAGGTACACGTGTGAGGTGACCAATGCCCTTGGCTCACACAGGCAGGATGTGTCCCTGATCATACTGGGTGAGTGGCCAGGTGCTGGCCATCCCTGCTTTCTTTGGTAGATGTGGCCCTGGCCACACAGGATGAGCTGCTTCTCTTTCTTCCCAGTTCCTCCCAGCATTGAGCTTGGTCCTGTCCTTGTCACTGCCACTGAGGGCACAGCTGTCACCCTGCCGTGCAATGCCACTGGTGTGCCCCCTCCAGCTGTCACCTGGACAAAGGTAGGTGACAGGGACAACCAGGTTGCCATCACCCTGCCTGCCAGGCTGTAGGTCACCCTTGGGTGCAGAGCAGCATGTTTCAGGGAGATGTAGCTCACCAGTGTGGCTGTGGCTGCCCAGGGAGGTGGTTTTGAGGGAAGCTGGGACACAGAGGTAGCTCTGTCTAATGGGTCCAGAGCTGCCTTCTTGCCCTTGGGATGCTCATCTCATGGGAGAGTGTCTACTGTCTTCCTCCCTTCCTCCCTTCCCTTTCTTCTGCAGGGCACAGAGCCCATTTCCCTAAGCCAACGCTACCACCTTGACCCCGATGGGACCCTCCTGATCCCTTCATCCTCCCCTGAGGATGCTGGGAACTACTTCTGCACAGCTACCAACACAGCAGGCTTCTCCAGCCAGGAGGTGCAGCTCTCCATCAGCAGTGAGTGCTTGAAGCTGGCCCTGGCACGAGCTCCAGAGGGGGACTGGCTGGGAGAACATGATCCAGGGCCTCTCCTACCTTCCTTGGGCCACCTTAGCCATGTGCCAGATGGGTTTGTGGGGTGGGAGGAGCAGCAAGGAGGGCTGTGGGGTACCTGAAGAGTTTCTGCATCAGCTGTGTTCCCTCTCCCCCAGCAAAGCCCAGGATCAGTGTGAACGGATCACAGGGGTTGGACCCCATCACTGTCCTGGCTGTGCTTGGGCAGGAGACCACTCTGCCCTGTGAGGTTCAGGGCTATCCCCCTCCCTTGCTAGTGTGGACCCGGGAGTCCCAGCTGCTGTCTCTTGCCACCACCAGGTAAGAAAGGTTGTGGTTGTTGGGGCTGTGAACTCTTGGGACTATGTGTCTTCCAAAAGGGATGTTGGGCCCATGAAGGGATTCGGGGAGATACAAAGAGCACCAAGTGCCTGATGCTCAGTGGTCTAGCAGGAGCTGAGGCAGCTGAGCAGTACAGAATCAGCTTTGCTCTTCAAGGACAACACAGCAAGAACCACCACCAGATTTTTTTTCTTTCTGTCACACAGGACATGCTTTCTCAGTATGTCAGCATCATGCTGGAAGGGCCTCCCTAAAATCATGGGCTCTGATCTTAAGCTTAATCCCTTCTTTCCCTGAGGATTGCTCTGGCCTGGGGAAGCAGGAAGGCATCTTGGTTTTGCTCTTCTTGAAGGCCTCTGTTGCCTTGTCATTCTTGCCTGGTTTCCCATGGCTGCTCCCTGCTGACCTGTGCTGCTCCCCACATCTCAGCTGGCTTGTCCTCATGTGCCTGGGTGATTTATGGGAGCACACGAGGAGCAGCCGTGGGCTGAGATGACGTGATGTCTGTGGAGCAGAGGCAGAGCTGGGAGCAAGAGCATGGCCAGCTCCAGCTGCAGGGCTTGTGCCCCAGGGACACCCCCATCCCCTTTCATCCACCCCAGGCTGGTGACCTGCACCTCTGCCTCGTGCTGAGCTCATGTAGAGGCTGAGTAAAGGGCATCTGCACCCATGGATGGCTCTGCCATCCTCCTTGTCCAGGAGGTGGCCCTGGGGTCCTTCTCTTGGCTGTCAAGGTGATGGTGACCTCCCAGCCTTCTGCCCGCGGGTAGGTAATGGATGACATGGCTTTTCCTCTCATCCAACTTTTCTTTTCTCTCTCCCAAGCTACAGCATCCTCCCCTCGGGGTCCCTCCTGCTGGCTGAGCCCCAGGTGACAGACACTGGCCTCTATACTTGCACGGCCACCAACACAGCAGGGAACACCTCTCTCAGCTATAACCTCCAGGTCCAAGGTGTGTGTCTGCTGGTTAAAATGCTTCTGCTGTGGGTCTTCTTGTACCACCAGGGTCCTGCACCCACTGAGCCCTTGGCTGCTCCTACATCCTGGTGCTGGGCTCCAAGGGTGGTCCCAGCCTGAGGTTCCCTTTCCCTCCAGTTCCCCCCCAGCTGCTGATTGGTGATGGAGAAACACACCTGACTGCTGTCACCAACGACTCCCTGAGGATTCACTGTCGTGCCACGGGCAGCCCCACACCCCAGATCCAGTGAGTGCTGCAGAGAGGTGGTGGGTCCCTGCTCACCTTCTTTGCTACCAGCACCCCACTCCTCACTCCTCTGGTGAGCAGAAACAGGGATGTGGTTGTGGCAGATCAGGCCATGGACTTGCCACCTGTCTCCTCCCTCACAGGTGGCTGAAGGATGGGCAGCCCCTGGGCAAGAGGGATGGTGTGATGGTGTCTGAGGATGGTGGGACTCTGCTGATCACCCGCGTGGGGCTTGGGCATGAAGGGCTCTACATCTGCCAGGGCAGCAACTGGGCGGGGGTGGCCCAGGCCAAGGTGCAGGTTTCGGTGCAAGGTGAGCTCAGCATCAGGGGCAGGACCTGCTATCCACCCCATGTGTCAGGGAGAACATGGCTGCCCAAACAGGTGGGTGCTCTTGGCCCTACTTTTTGGGAAGTGTGTGGTTTACTAACTTGATCCATTGGGATATCACTGTTTGCTAATGAGGCTGAGGTCTGATGGCCACTAACATTATCATAAACCATCGCATCTCTCCATGATGGGTGTGTCCTTGTGGAGGGTCCACCCCTAGTCCTGTTTGCCAGAGCACCCCTCAACCAGCAGCTCAGTCTGACACTGAAGAAAACTGAGAAACCAGGCAGAGGGTGGAGATCCCTACCTGGAAGGGATGGATATAACATTGGGGTAGGGAACAACTCTGCTAGTGGACCTGGGGAGCAGCAGTGACCCATGTGGGGATGTGGTCCCCTCTCAGAGTGGGGAGCAAGCCCTGGCTGCTGGTCTCCTGGGACCTGGTATGTGCCAAGAGCCCCTGGTGAGCCCAGCCATGCCCCACGTGGCTGGTGCCATGCAGAGCTGATGGCTGTGCTGGCTTGCAGTGCCTCCCAACATCGAGCCCAGTGTGGTGGACCTGGTCATCCTGGAGAATAGCACAGTGTCCCTGGAGTGCCTGGCCTCGGGGCTGCCTGCTCCTGGTGAGCCCATCCTGTCCCTCAGCTCTCACCTGTGTGTCCCTGGGGCTTTCCCAGTGTCCCAGTGCTGAGCAGGGCAGCAGCACAGCTCCGTGCAGCTTGGCTCCCTGCTTCCCTCCAGACATTGCTTGGTACAAGGGGCACAAGCAGCTCTCAGCTGGACCAGGCTGGACCCTGTCCAGGGATGGGAAGCACCTGGAGATGGAGCATGTCCAGCTCTCTGATGCTGGCAGCTATCGCTGTGTGGCCTCCAACGTGGCTGGTGTCACTGAGCTCTGGTACAGCCTGAAGGTGACTGGTGAGTCTGTGGTGAGCAGAGGAAGGGCTGTGGCTGCCTGGGAGCTGGGTGCTCCCCCCTTCCCCCAGCACCATGGACCAAGGGGGCTGTTCCAACCCTCAGGACGTGTCCCTGGAAGATGGCTTTAGCAGAGCCCTTGTCCTCTGACCTGCTTGCAATTCCAGCCACTCAACCCCCTGCTTTCATCCCAAATAATGTCCTAGAAAACCATGGCCCCATGGATGGGTATTGCCTGGTCCACACCACAGTGTCTCCTCCACATCCTGTTCCCTTTGCACCCTGCTGCTCTAGGTGACATTTCTCTGCCCTCCCAGTGCCCCCACGGATCACCAGCAGCCCCAGCTCCCTCACGGTGGTGGTGAATGATCCAGTGACCCTGGAGTGTGATGCCACGGGAAGCCCTGCTCCGGTGCTGCTGTGGCTGAAGGACGGCAACCCAGTGCCCAGGAGGGTGACAGGTGGCCCACAGGTGAGACAGCTTCTGTTGGAGAGGCACTCACTGGGAACATCTCTCCAGGAAGATGCTCCTTTTCCTTGTTCTGCTTTTAAAAAAAACACAAAACCCAACAAACAATTGCTGGAGCTGAGCTGGTGCAAGTTGTTGAGAACTTCCGTGTCTTATGACTCTGGGAGCAGGGACCAGCTCAGCCCTGTGCTGGGCTTTCCTGACACAAGGGGGTGGGTGGGAAGAGGATTCCCAGGATGTAATTCCCACCCACCCCCCTGGCTCACAGCTCAGCTGCCTGTGAGTTTCCTTGGTTTCATGCTCACCTGGGTCTTTGTGTCTCGTGGGGAAGCACAGGTCCTCTCGGGTGGGCACACTCTGTCCCTGCCCACCGCTCACCTCCAGGACTCGGGGACGTACACGTGTGTAGCCAGCAGTGCTGTGGGGGAGGATAGACGTGAGGCCACCCTGGAGGTGTGGTGTAAGTACCCCGGTGTGTCCCCAGCCCCTTCCCACCAGCGGGTTGAGGGCTGAAGGTGACAGTCGTGACCGCGGGGCTGCTCTGCTGCCCCCTCGCAAGCACACAGCCCTGGGCTGGGGCACCAAAGGGGGTGGCCTGGGGAAGGTGTTGCCCTGTTGGTCTGTTTTCCAGTGCCTCACACTGCCCTGGGTGAGGAGGAGCACATCTCTGTCCTCGTCAACCAGCCGGTGACCCTGGAGTGCCTGGTCCCTGGGGTTCCCCCTGGGGGGTCCCGCTGGCTGAAGGATGGGACCCTGCTCCTAGCAAAGCGAGGTGTGCAGCTGTCTGCAGAGGGGACTGTGCTCCAGGTGATGTTTCAGAGTATTGCAAAGGATGGGAGGGGAGGCAGGGCTGTGAAGAACCCCTTTGTTCCCACTCTCCCTTGGGAGGCAGTGGGAGCAGGAGGGGCTGTCCCTCCCTGCTGCCCATGGCTCAGCACCATTCCAACCCCTCACGCTGATCCCACCCCCATGGCTTCTGCTGCCACAAAATTCCCCCCACACAGGGGCTGGGTGGGTTCAGCTCTGGTGCAGAACTTCTTAGTGTCTCTGCTTGCTCCAGCAGATTGGGCAAGTCACCCTGCAGGATGCAGGCAGGTACACGTGCCAGGTGCCTGGCCAGCCAGAGCAACACCATAGCCTCTCCGTGTGGGGTAAGGGCCACTGCAGCTCACATACTCCTTCAGGGGCAAATATCTCTCTCTATATATAGATATATATATAGAGAGAGAGAGCATGTGTGTACACAAATGACACAAATGTCTGGGCTATATACAAATCTGCATATAAACGGTATATGCATATAGTGTGTAAGTGCATGTGCTTATATACACACAAACATATATACTGTATTATATCCCATTTGTCTGTAGTATCATACGTAGCTGAGGTGGTTGACTGGCTTGGAAAACACTAAGCTCAGAATATTAAAGCTCTGTGAAGTGATGGAGCTGGAGGTGGAAGGGAATCCCCACCAGAATGGGTGTCAGGGGAAATGTCAGGGGCTGCCTGAGTCTCCAGGGAGGTTTCAGTGACAACGCAGCAGAGACATCCTGCCAAAATCTGGGCAGGAGAATGAAGGGCTTTCCTGGCTGTTGCCAAGGCTTCTCTTGCTTTGCACCTGGTGGCTGCTGCAGGTATCTTCCCCCTTCCCTGCTCCTGCCTGAGATGGGAGGATGCCAGTGGTAGTTCCCAGGCTGCTGCCAGGATGGGCACCAGCCCCGCTCACCTCCTCCAGTTCAGCATCCTCCCTTGCAGCCTCCCAGCCCCCCCAGCACATCCTCAGCACCCGGGGCTGAGCCAGGCTCTGGCTTTTCTCAGGGATGCTCTAGGCCAGCTGGTGGAAGTCCTGCAGGCAGGGAGCCAGGGAGGGAAGAAAATCCAGTTCTCCTGATCCAGGCTTGTTCCTGCAATCCCTTCCCAGGGAAGCGATTGCATGTCTGGTGTCCTGGCTGGGGTGGATTGTTTGGGTTCTGCTGGTTTTGTTTTTCAGAGGTTTCTGGGTGTTGAGGTTTTACTTCTACAAATTGATCTCCCTCATGTGAAGGAGTTACCATTTTCCAGCCAGCTGTATTTATGAGCAACCAAGAACAGCATCCAGTAATGGAAAGAGTTAGGTAACCCTCCCAGGGAGCACTGCCTGCCACGGCTGTGTCTGGCCAGCCTGGCCTTGGCCTGCCTGCAAGGCTTGGTCGTGCTCTGCTGTAGGCCACGTGCAGTTAAAAGCACCACTGGCTTAATCACTGGAAAGTTGAGATGATGACTTCCATATGGAACCAGGGCAGCTGAATCTCGATGTGAAGCCCAGTGGAGCTGCAGGTGGAACAAGCAGGACAGAGCTGAGCTCCTCTCCTCTCCCGCAGTGCCACCCTCCTTCTCCTCAGCTGAGCCCACCACCCTGGCCGTGCTGGAGGGACAGTCCATCAGGCTGACCTGCGAGTGCCATGGCATCCCCTTCCCCACCCTGAGCTGGCAGAAGGATGGTATGGTCCTTCTCCTCACACCCCTCCCCACATACATGCTGACCCATCTGGGTTTCCTTGGAGCAAGGAATGCATCACGCTGAGCAGTGTCCAGCTTCTGGGTGGGAACTGGTCCTCCTGGAAACCTGAGAGGAGGCTGCTTTCCCCTTCTCTGTCAGGTGAGCCCCTCTCTGCCCAGCCTGGGAGCCCCAAGTTGGTGTCCACAGGAGGGACTGTGCTGTACATCGAGAAGGTGTGGCTGATGGACAGTGGGACATACACGTGTGAGTGCAGGA